CCCTCAGGAGCCCGTCCTGGATCCGCCTGTGGCTGCTTAGCCTATTTATCAGCCTCTTAATAATCCCCCATTAAGTATAACTTCCGCATAATTCATCGTTAGTAGCACCTCTCTTAAATTTTAAGATGACCCTCTTAGAGGACAAAGAGCTTGAACTTTTCTGAGGTGTTGCTTAAAATTCCAGGACAGGAAATAAATAAGAATGGTGTGAAAAGCATGTTTGCTTCAACAGACTTGCTAGCATTTCAGAGTGGATATGTGTTAGGCAATGAATATCCATCATCGAATTGCGCCCCATCACTGCTTATTGGCCTGATAAACATGTTCATGATGAAGGATCGCCCGGCCGGCTTTGTGGATCCAAAGGGGAATGTTTACCCGCAATGCTATTTGAATCTTTGGTATCCTGGTCAGGTGTGTACCTTTAATTAAATTTTCTCCAAAACGAAAATTGCTTATTGGGGATTTTATTTAGCAAACAGCGAGTGAGTGCTGCTCCTCTTTCATTTTTGTTGAAGACATAACAGCATTTTTTTCCCACGAAAAGATCATATTACCGCAATGGAATTTTTGAACGTTCTTGTGACATGTTTTCAACAGCTTAGTTCGATATTAATCCTGAATTTCAATTAAAATAAATGTTGGTTTTTGTCTTTTTTTCCTGTATAAATTTAAGAGTCTAAATTGAGTTTCCATCACTCCCTCTTTTCTGGAGAAGAGAAACTAAAATCCTGATTTCCCCTTCGTTCCGTAGAGAGCATTTTTACTCTTCATCACTCCCTGATATGGTCCTAGCTAAGTGCAAAAAAAAAAAAATCCGGTGTCTACTAGATTTTTCCAAATCATAGTCAAATATCCCAACTCTACTTATTAATTCTGAAGAAAAAATCGCTTGGATTGACGACAAGTAAGAGGAACTGGATGTTATTAAGATACAACCACTCCCCGAGCGTAATCTTAGGAGGCTCGCCAAATTTTAAATCACCTGCTTCCACCGTCTCAGCTGCTTATTATCTCATTTAAAACCGGTCGAGCAGCCCTGTTTTTTTTTTTTCACTATTTCGGACCGATTTGCTTGAAATCTCCTCAATAAAGCAGTTAATTTGAAAGGTAATGAAATGTTAAATTGAGTAGCGCCAGTTTTTAGTCATTCTTTGAAAGCTTATTTGTGTTAATTGCGGCGGCCTGCATTCCGGTGATGTTGTTCGGTAAGCCGTACATGCAGTGGAAGGAGCACAAGCAACGATTGGCGCTGGGCATTTCTGATTTGGTTTGCTGATTTTCTATTAGTAAAAAAAAAATTCTATGCAAATGCCATTATATTACAATCAGGCAAACCATGGATTTGTTGTACGTCTTGACAATTGGAAATTTTAGCTTTTCTTAGGCCAATTTTCATTTTCTCAAGTAAATTATGAGATTTTTTTCATTTTTTCAAGTAATTTTTTTGGCAGAAATTTGGCATGGGTTAGTGAGAAAATGAAGTTTTTTTTTCCCTGCTCCCATGGAATTAATGCCGATTTGTTCATGATGGCATTTGCATGGATGGCAC